TATTCACACACATTACCATTGTTTTACTCACTGTTACTTGCTTTAATGGCGGATGTGTGTCTACCTTTGAGTGCAGGTGAGGACACGCTCGAGCTGCATTCAGTGCATTCGACCTCTCCACCTCCGCCGCCTCCGGTCTTCAAGATCTCCACCCAGAACCGCTTCGCTCCCCTCCGCGAGACGGAACGCAACGCTGTGATCATCGGAGACTGGAACATGTCTTACTTGGCAAAATCACGGCGACAATAAAGTTACAGGTGCTGATTATGTACATGAATATTTAAAATACATATACAGAACACACATATAAATACATTACTGTTTAGGGTCAGAAATTATTATAATAATTTTTTTTATTAATACTTATTCAGCAAGGAAACATTAAATCAAAAGTTAAAACCTTTAAGTTGTAAAAATTGTTGTTTTTTTTACATTCAGAATTCTATTTTAAATGCTGTTTTTTACCTCTATTCATGAAAGAATCCCGTAACAAGGTTTTCACAAAAATATTAAGCAGCACAACATTGATGATGATGATAATAATAAATATTTCTTCAGCATCAAATCAGCATATTAGAATGATTTCTGAAGGATCATGTGACACTGAAGACTGGAGTAATGATGATGAAAATGCAGCTTTGCCATCACAGAAATAAATTAGGTTTTAAAATATATTAAAATAGAAAACAGTTTTACAATTTTAAATTGTAGTTAAATTGTAGTTCTCAATAATGCTGTTTTTACTGTATTTTTGATCAAATTAATGCAACCATGGGAGCATAAGAGACTTCTTTCAAAAATAAATCTTACTGACCCCAAACTTTTGAACAGTAGTGTATATTTAATATAATAATTAGTATTTAAACGCATAAAAAGCATGGCATGTATTGTTAAATTAACTTGTCTGATAGTGTTTATTGTCTAGTGCTGCTTTATTCCGATTGTTGTAAGAGGTTGTTGAATACGCTTGAATTCCACAAAAACAAATCAATCTAAATTAGGATTTTATTTATACCTGCCATTAATCTAGCCCAAACCGCACTCGCTGTAAAAGCCAAATCGTAATATTTATTCTACCTAGCACAGGCTGCTGGAAATCAAGATGCAGGTCTAATAATGTCAGAATCTATCTTGGGCTCAGAATGAACACCCGCCAAAGCAAACTGCCTTTGAGGACTCATAGATGCATTCAGTTGGCCTGCAAATTGCTTCAGCAGTGTTGTCAGTCAATTTGGCACACTCGCCCGTGACTCTAATTGATGCTAAATTTACATATTGGTCACATCTGTGTAACAAATGCTATTTCACTCAAAGTGAATAGCAGACGAAAGAGAATAGGGGGAAGGGGGAAAAAGAGAGAAATAAACCTGTTCTTTCCAACCGAAACACCTGTGAGACGAGCCACTGAAGATACTGGCATTTCAGTGACTTTAAATTAAGACAGAACGTCTGGACAGTGTTTAATTTCAATATCCTAAACCGTGCGGGAGACAATTACTCAGCACCTGGTACAAATGTGTTTGCAATTACAATTCTATTTATAACTTGTAAAATAATAATAAAAACCCAAAATGTCAGCGCTTACATTATGATTAAGTCAAATGTTTTTGCTAAACAAATTAACTTGCTATACATAAGCATTTCAGGTTGGCAACAGTATTAAGTGAAATACATTTAGCACTGCTAATAAAAGTTAATTCATTCTTTTGATTCGCCCACATACAACTATATATGTGTAAAATCTCAAAGCAGGTTTGATGTCCTTAGCATCTGTTAGTGATGAGCAGATCAGCTTTGCACATGTAACCTAAGTGGCACCAAAATGGCAGCAATGCATTTTTAATGGCAGCCAGTCACTTGGGTGCCATTTCCGCAGCATGGGCTTCAGTGTCATTGGGCCTCCAGCAGCAACAAGTAGGGAATGAAGTGATATGATTTCTGCACTCTGCATAACTTAAAAGCCATAATAACTCCAGCCTCAGCTTGATAAGTGAGATTGTGTCCGAGCTTGTGTATTTACCTTACAAGCCGAGGGGGTCTGTGGCAAAGAAACTCATCAAAGGCCGGAGTCTGATAAAGCACTTAATTTGAGCAATTAAGCCAATGATGGATTCAGTTAAGCCCTTTATGAGTTCAGGTGGAGCAGAGGACTGCAGGGTCCCAGCGGATTGGATTTGTGTACGAATTAAAGGTGGATGAGCTGAGGGGTCGTACTGTGCATGCTCAGGCTTTTCCATTTTGTATTTAAAAAGAAGGACCAAATTAACTGCTCATACCTTCATCTGGAGGTTTATCATGCAGCGGCCCAGCTCAGTGACAGATAAGAACATAATGTGTCCCTGCTGTCTAATAGCAAAATGGCTGCAGTATGCTCTGCTCTCAGCTACACTTTTAGTATAATTAACTGGTCTGTACTATTGTGCTGTGATACACAGCCCTTCAGTTTGGGTCAGTAAGATTTGGTCTCTTATGCCCAGCAAGTCTCCATTTATTTGATCAAAAACTTAGCAAAAATAGTAATATTGTTAAGTATCATTACAATTTAAAGTAACTGTTTTCTATTTTATTATATAATCTTGTAAATCTTGAAGTTTTTTTTTACGCTTCTACCATGGGATTAAAAATTAAATAATTAAAGAAAAGTCAGAATTCGGAAATGTTAAGACAGAATTTTGAGATAAAAATCGCAATTACCATTTTTTTTTTTGATCCAGTGCCAGAAACAAACTTCTGTAACAAGGAGAGCAACAATGATGACAACTAATGAAGACAAAAAAAAAAAAAAAAGGGAGCTAGGCTTTGACTTTCTCATCGCTGTCAAAGTCATGGCACTGTCAAAATAAAGGTCCCATTTTTAACACTTATCAGCCAAACAGAAACGTTTATTGTCCAATGTCAGTAGTTACACAACACCTAATATCGGCCTTGCTGGTATATCAGTCGAATAAATATCTTACAGTAAAAAATGTTTACTGTATACCTACTGTACAAGATTAGTACCACAATCTACAAATGATACGCTATGTAAACTTGCAGATAATTTAATAGTAAATATATACCGGATGTTCTGAATCATCTTTTCGAAGTACACTAGCATATAGATAACCTAAAATCTAACCAACATTCTAAAAGCTACAAAACTCCAATTATAATCACACTAAGAACAATACCTCCATTAAAAAAACAAATAATTAGATTCTGGATAAACCATGCTAATTAGTAATTTCATAATTGTTTGGAAAGCTATAATCATCCACAGTAATAAAAACAGTATTCTTTTTTCAAAACATGCTGCCCAACTGAGGTATAAAAATATCAGCCCTGTAAATAATGTGCAGCCTACTTTGAACAAGCATCACAGAATTAAAAGTGGCCTTTATTTGTCCACCTGAAACATGCATCTGTGTGGGCCTCTTAATGGATAACCCTGGCAAGACATGTTTGTTTAGTTTTCTATGCGAAAGTTGCCGTGTCTTTGTGTTGGTGTCATTATTTGCTGGTGTAATTCCACCAATTCACCGTTTAGAAAAAGCAGGATTAGAGAGGGAGCTATAGAGGAAGTTGAAGTGTACTATCAGGGGAGTGTTTTTTTTCTGGCAGATTCATCAGGTGTTGTTGAATAGAGAGCATAAGGTCTTAACAAACTCGCCCATATGCATCCTGCTGGGGCGGCCATAGGCCACTGCAGGGACACTTTTTCAGCATTATTAGTGCTGTCTTTGACTCGACAGGAAAACTTTAGAAGTTATAATACTGCTGCAGACGTTCCCCTTGCCAGATTTTCTTTAAAAATGGCTTCCTGGAGTGGTGCCTGTGCATAAAAATGGTACGTACAGATAAGAAAGAAAAAAACTCCAATGGACACTGAGATGGGAAGATGAAGACGTAGGACAAAAGAGAACAAAGCCTGTAAGAGTTCACAGAAAGGGGACTGACAGTAAGAGGGAAACAGTGAACAGGAAATATGAGAGAGATAGACAGTGTCAAAAAAAAAAAAGTGAGAATAAGTACCAGAGATGTATAATAACCCTTATGCTCATCTTTCATAGTTGAATAAATTGGCAAGAATTAACATTTGAAGGCCACTGTGTTTTTCTACCCAGTTTGATCTCACCTCGAGGCCTCTTTGACATTGGTGACAGTTCTCGCAAATATGACAAAGAATGCATTCATTAAGGCAAAGCCATGTGGGAAACCTACCAATGGCTGAAAATCAAACAGACACACACAATCAATTATGGAGATTTCAGCAGACAAGAAAGGTCAAAGCAGGAGTAAAACAAGCTGCCAGAAGGATGATGAATCAGTCACTGATCAAATGCTGTGGACTCTCTTTCTCTCATGAATGGAGTGGAATGATTGACTGCAGCACCAAGGAAACTGTCCCAGTCTAAGATGCTTTTGTTAGCATACGCTAGCTCTAAGCTTCCACTGCTTATTAGGGTTTACCTGTCTATTGGCCACTGAAAACACAGCTTCTCTGTGAACACAAAGTGTGGCACTGCTAATGTTATTGACTGCGTATGATTTATCACTTGTGTTATAATTTCCAAGTCACCTTGAAAAGCATCTGCTAAATGAACATGTAAATGTATTAAAAACAAGCTGACATTACTACTACACAAAACTGGATCCACTGTCATCGTTCACATTATTACGGAAACACCAAAATGTTATATTACATTACAGATAATAAATATTATGTAAATATGTACACTAATGTTTGGGGCCTGTACGGTTTTTAATATGTTTGAAAGATGTCTCTTATGCTCAGCGGCTGCCTTTATTTGATTTAATTGTATTTTAAAAAGTTATTCATTCCTGTGATGGCAAAGCTGAATTTTCAGCAGCCATTACTCCAGTCTTGAGTATCAAGTGATCCTTCAGAAATCATTCAATATGCTGATTTGCTGCTCAAGAAATATTTATTATTATTATCAAAATCATTGTTCTGCTTAATATTTTTGTGGAAAGTGTGATACATTTGTTTCAGGATTCTTTGATGAATATAACGTTCATGAGAACAGCATTTATTTGAAATACTGTACTGTATTACTATACTGTATATGCTGTACTGTTACTTTTGATCAGTTTAATGTATACTTAGTGAATAAAAGTATTAATTTATTAAAAAAATAATAATAAAATAAATAAATAATCTCACACGCCCCAAACTTGTGAACAGTAGTTTATTTGCACAACAGTTTTTAAATACACTGAATTTCAGATTACTAGAGTAACCTCAGAATATTATTACAGTACTGTGACACAAGAAAGTTTAGAGAGGTTAGAGAGTGTGACTTGTAACCCAAAGGTTGTGGGTTCGAGTCTCAGTACTGTACTCTCAGTACTCTCTCAATTTTCTAGCATTTTAGATACGGTTGCTCCTTTACACTTAAGGAAGATTAAGGAAAACAGTCTGACACCGTGGTATAATGAGCACACTCGCAACCTAAAGAGAGCAGCCCGGAAAATGGAGCGCAGCTGGAGGAAAACAAAATTATCCTATCCTACCTAGGATAGTTTCCTATCCTACAGAAAAGCATTAAAAACTACTAGATCTAATTACTTTTCGTCACTTTTAGAAGAAAACAAACATAAGCCCAGGTATGTATTCAAATACAGTGGCTAAATTAACAAAAAATAAAGCATCAACAGGTGTTGACATTTCCCAACAGCACAGCAGTAATGACTTTATGAACTACTTTACTTCCAGGATCGATACTATTAGAGATAAAATTGTAACCATGCAGCCATCAGCTACAGTATCACATCAGATAGTGTGCTATAGATCCCCTGAGGAACAATTCCACTCATTCTCTACTATAGGAGAGGAAGAATTGTATAAACTTGTTAAATCATCTAAACCAACAACATGTATGTTAGACCCTATTCCATCTAAGCTCCTAAAAGAGGTGCTTCCAGAAGTCATAGATCCTCTTCTGACTATTATTAATTCGTCATTGTCATTAGGATATGTCCCAAAAACCTTCAAACTGGCTGTTATTAAACCTCTCATCAAAAAAACACAACTTGACCCCAAAGAACTAGTTAATTACAGAACGATCTCGAATCTCCCTTTTCTGTCCAAAATACTAGAAAAGGTAGTATCCTCACAATTATATTCCTTCTTAGAGAAAAATGGTATCCGTGAGGATTTCCAGTCAGGATTTAGACAGTATCATAGTACTGAGACGGAGACTCTCATTAGAGTTACAAATGACCTGCTCTTATCATCTGATTGTGGTTGTATCTCTCTATTAGTGCTACTGGACCTTAGCGCTCCGTTCGAC